TAATTCTGTGTGGCTAAGTGCCCTGGCGTGCTCCTGTTAGTGGCCCGGATCTGTGGCCAAGGCCCAGAAGGTTGATCTGTCCCAGTGGGCTTGATCCGCCTGTCTGTCAGGACACTTGAGCGGTTTGGACCGGACTGTAAAAGCCCTCAAACACAAAATGTCTGTCAACGTCTTGGTTCGGTTTATCATAACCAGTAAGGCTTAAACTGAGGCGTTTCGTCTTCCGAGAGGAAATTGGATTGGAATGGATGTTATTGCTGGGGGAGTTAAACGGGTCTCGGGAGGAGAGTTAAAGGCTGTTGATGCTGCCTGAGTTTCCTGTTGCAGCACTCGTATAAAGTCATTTTTTTCCTTCTGCCTTTTGAATAGGGAGCAATTTAACCAGAAATCAGCTGAATGTTTTTTAACATGCTTCAAATACTCCCTTAAATGTGCTAAAATTACACAAATTGCCTATTGAATTGCCTATTCCCAACTATTTTCTGAGCTCAAAAATGAGTAAATTACCTGTCAGCAAGATTTATCTGCAATTAACTTTTCCTCTTAAAAAAACAAAGCATGTTAAAGATATTGGAAAACAAAATTGCAGATGCATTAGTGATGTATTATTTTGTTTGCTTTTTATGTACATAAAATAATTACATTAAATCTGGTTGTCATAGATTACTCTCAGGCTGGGCTCTCTAATCCAGACTAATCCCTTTCATCAGGATAAGTCACCCACTGTGACCCCGGTCCTGGTAGCCTTCATGCGGGTGGGCTGGGGGTCAGTGTGTGTGTCTAAACTGGGGGGCTTTTCTCCGGCAGTTCAGAGCTGCCCACCTGGAGCTCAAAGGGCTTCGCTTGACCTACAGGTCCAGCAGAGGTCTTTGATGTAGCCAGACTTTCCTGACTCTCGGTATGAAACTCGTATGTACTGTAGCTACTGTGACATGATAAAGATAATCGGCTTCTCTCTTGCATTCTCCCCCTTTCCCCACGGCCCCCTTTTTCTTTAAAGCTGTTGTTATTACTCTTGTTTGCATTGCAGACACTCTTGTAAAGGGTGACATGCAGTTCTGTACAGTTAATAGAATAAGTGACTAAACGAAATAGGTACCATATCAAAGCGAAGGCATTATATAAAGTCACAGACTTGGTAAGCCGCGGAGCTTCTCGGTGTGGGCTGCTGCTCTCCAGGTCTGCATGTGGGTGACCCACAAGGCAAGGGGTGACGTACCGCTGTCCTGTCTCCCTGTGGGCTCCTCTCAGCCAAGAGTGCAGCTCCGCTCTGCAGGCAGGCAGTGCAGACGGCGGTACTCCAGATGTGTGGACCCTTCTTTCCAAGCCAGCTGCTCTCATTATCCTGGAGCGTCACACCTCCCCTCATCTGTCCCTGTCACTTCACCTCTATTGTAAATCCCCCCTCCCCACCTCCTCAGCCTGTCTGGCTGGAGCCTGATTGAACTAAATCAGTTTGAGACTCTGGGTCTATCCGGTCGGAACCCTCCCTCTTAAAGCAGCTAACAGCCAAAAGATTGAGTGATTGCTTTAAAAAAGTTGGAGAATTGTTGAATAAAACACAACAGGCTGGGTATTATGAATCCAGCTCTGAGACTTGGAAATCACCTCTCGGGGGGGGGGTCCTGTGTGTGGTGTATTTTGATTTCTCCCTCCTGTTTAATTGCTAAGTATTCTTTGGTGTTCTGCACTGCAGCAGAGCCTGCCTGCACACAGCAGAACTGCAGTGAGCTGCAGAGCTGCAGTCCAGCCCTGAGAGAGCTGGGGGAGGGGTCCTGTGTCAGACCGCAGAACAGCGCTTATTGACTTTCAGCTATTACCATCGTTCTTTAATGAAGCGGAACGTCATGTATATATGTTGTGGCTTCCATGTACATTTTTGTTCTTGGAATAATGCCTCCTGGATCTTGAGGAACCACAGCATTGCCGTTTGGCAAAGCAGAAGACCACCGAGCCTGCCCAGTGAGTTTCAGAGCAGCGATCTACTGAGGCGCACGTGACTCTCCCAGCGAGAGAAACTGTCCTGGCAGCTTAATTCTCTAGCTGGGCCACGCACTGTTAAACCTGATCGGTTGGCGTGCTCCTGTCGTCTAAGTATTACTCCCGAGCACAGAGTGGGACAGTCTGTTGGAGTGTGGATCGAGCTACCCAGCCATGTTGTCGAGGCCCATACCCTGGCTTATTTCAAGAACCGTCCGCGCTCAATTAGCTGATACCTGCCAGACGCACCTCCTCACTTTTTTAATCGTTAATCAAGGGCACTTCGGCCTGTCCCTTCCCCCTCGATGCAGCGTATCTGATATCCCATTGAAGCTCTCCCTGGGCCCCCCTCTGCCTTCCCGTTTCAAGATTAATAGTGCTCCTCTAGTTCGTCTGTAACTTTAGGAAGCTGATCTCCTCCTTATTTTCATGTCATTAGTCTTCCCACTCCCCTGCCTGTGCACGGGCTTCAAAGAGCAGGCGTTTGCACCACCCAGACGGGCCGCGGGGAGTGTGCTGGGACCCCTGTAACAGCTGTGTGCCCCTGCTGTGCTGCTTGGAGGGCAATAGCAAATCGAAAGAGCCTACAGGAGGGTCTCTGTAGAGAACAATTTCAGAAAAACAAATGGGGGGAAAAACCCCTGCTTTTGAAACTGATCGTGGACTTTACTCTGCTCAGCTGAGTGAGTACCTCGGCTCTCAGGCCTTTGAGAGAGACTACGGGGGCTGTATGGTGCGAGTGTGATCTGGGTTCGAGTAGTCAGGCCCACGCGAGTGAGCCGCAGGATGGGTTTGGGATGCACGGAAGGCAATACCGTAGCTGTGTTTCCTGTCACGTCTTTCCTTTTAAATGAACTGGGGTGCTTTGCCCTGAAGATCGTTCTGTTAACCGAGGAGGTCAAGAAACAATTAACTTGTGCCAGAGTGCCTAGGACCCCACTGGGAACTGCGCTGCTATACAGACGGCACTGATGGAGCCGAAGGTTTCCGTTAAATTTTTCAGGAAGATAAAGCCATCCACACTATGCCCCAGTTTTGGATGACCTTTTAAAGCGTATACGAATCTCTTCAAATTGTGGAACGTCTGAAAGCCCCGGGTGCCAGAGAGCAGTTAACACCAGCAGCCCTTCTCAGTGAGTTAGCCTGTCTCCTGGTATTTCCTTCAGTGTTGCTCACGTACGGGCCCATGGTGTTCCTAGGCTACGGTTTCCCATTTCTTTGATGGGCGTGGTGGTGATTTTTCAGGGGGACATCCTCCTGCAGGAGAAGATCCATCACCCTGATGGTCAGCGTGCTCTCTGGTCGCCTGCCCAGCCGGCAATCGATCAGCTGCCACTGCTGTATTTTTCTTCGGGGCTCACGGGCTCAAGACGTGGCCCTGTTGTTCCCGTCGTAGCTCATTAAACACCAGCCGCCCCAACCCCTCCTCGGCCTCCCTAATGTGTGTCCTGTAATTGAAAACCTCCCTAAAGCCAAATCATCGAGCTGGCGGGAGAGTTACGAGCCGTCTTTCTTTTTCCTCGGCTGCCCCTCGTTGGCAGAAGCTTTTTTGAAAACCAGGCCTGGGAGTGGATTCCCCCCCACCCAATAAACGTGTAAAACAATTCTTCAAGGGCAACACATCGTCGCTCTTTTGGCGTGGAGCTTGTATTTTTTTTCTTGCTTGACTATTGCGGCCCATCGAAAGCGGTGCATTTCGCCGGTCCCACTTTTTTGAGAAAAGTTTCTTTGCGAGGGCAGTAAGGAGCGATTTCGTCTGGGTACGTGTGTCCCAGCACAGTAACAAGGGGACCCAGATGGGGGGTCCTACTAAGGTGCACAGCTGGGGGATTGAAATTTGCCTTTAAATCATCCCTGATTAAAGACCCAAAAAGCTGTTCTAAGTAATTAAGGAAATAATTTGTTCAATTAAGCAATTCATTAACTAATTTAGAGCTCTTATGACATAAAAACCAGCAGACTGTGTAGCCCTCCACAGCCCGGCTATTGCTTATAATAATGTGGGTGTGAAACAAAGGAAAGGGTGTCTCAGATGCTTTCACTCATTAGGGCTCATCGAAGCGTGCCTCGTGTTATCGCAAGAGACGTTTAGGCCAGAACCGGTGGGAATTGAGGTTTTTTTAATGTGGCAGACAGCGTGCATGTGTCTGTGATGCTGAAGTGGAGAGGAGGATGAGGGAGAGGAAGGAGAATGAGGCAGAGGAGGGTGGGGCTGGCCTGTTGTGTCCCCCTTGCCCCCCACCCCGTCTCTGTCCTGCGGGAGCTCATTAGTTATACCTTGACAGGAGCTCTCTGTTTTCACTCTGGCCCTGCATTAAAACACATTATACTTATATTATTAATGTTTCCTTATTGGCCCCTGGAGGGAGCCGCCCAGAGTGCCAGCTCATCCTGATTTCGGAAGTCCTCCTGAGCGGACATCAGAGAGAATGTCGCCCAACCCGCCTCCACCTCCTTCCTGACAGTCCCAGTTTCTCTGAATCGTGATCTGAAGGGCCATTTTTTCAGCCTTATCTGAATAGCCTCTTTCATCATCCTGTGACTCTCAATAAAACAATAAACCAGTTACCCCTTCCTGCACCTGATCGCTGTTTGCAGGTGACAGAACAAGCAGATTTTAACTCCTTTCCATCTTGCAACACTGCAGAGAAGAAATAAAAATGAATTGGACTTGAAAGAACTTGACCTGCATGATACTGTACCTTGATGAGCCTGATGTTTTCCTTTTCTTTTTCCTGCGTATGAAATCTGATGTGACATCTGATGTGCCTATAAACATTGAGAGCCAGCTTTAATCACGGGCCACGTGGCCAGGCTGCGCACCAATTGTTTTTCATTTTCAAAACACCTGCCCCCTGTAATTTGATTTTAACTGAACGGGGAGGAAGGCTTATTCAATTTGGTAGGTAAATATCAGGAGGGGAGGCCAGGTAATTGAAATGGGAGATTAACAGAGCTGGCTTGAGCCCCATTAACCTGATTTTTTTTTCCCTTTCCTTTTCTGCTTTTCATTTTTCCAGAGCAAGGAGGTGGGCCTGCAGCTACAGGAGGATTTGATGAAGGTCCTTAACGAGCTCTACACGGTAAATCAAGTTTATTTCAATGCTTGTCCTCCCACTTAGAAAAGAAAGAAAGGGAAATTGCATTAAAGGGCCGTTTTTGGGAAGATGATTGAAGGGCACTTGCGCAAATTAATAAACGCGGCAGCCAAGCAAATGGATTCTCAAGTACCTGCCGCCCAGTGTTGCAGAGCAGCTGTCGGGAAGGATGGGCTTCCTGCTTCCTGTGTTGGCACTGAGGGGTCTGCTGGCCCTGAACCCAGAGGGGTCCGAATCGGGAATTAGGGCAGAGTGTTCTCTTTCAGTCCTCCCTCGATCTGTTACAAATGAAGCCAGTTAGAACAATTACCTGCTGATCTGGCAACAGCTTTAAATGGTTGTTAAAATCGATTCGGTTCCTCCCGTTCCTCCTGCTGGAAGTGAAACAGTCTTACTGGAATCCTTTTTTCCCCCCGTTTGTTTTGTTTCTCATTGGCACGGCCTGTGGTTTTGAGTGGGTGTGCTGCGAGGCGGGTGGGGTGTGACTTTTGGGAGACGCCCTGTGGTTTTGAAGCCGGCCGGGGCTGGGGGCCGGGGGGGTTCAGTGAGCCTGCAGTCCTCCTGGCTCTGTGGTCGGGGAATAAGGTGTGTGGTTAGGATGTTGGGCCCATCAGGAGGGCAGCTCTGAAGCTCCAGCCAGCAGAATCGCTGAACTCCAGGCGGCAGGTCACGCTCTCGAGTTCAGCCTTGTGCAATCCCTTGTCTTGTTTACATTACAGATAGCAGGGGATGTGGAGCCAATGTCCCCTTCTGCTTTTAAACTTCATTCCCTTCCATTTGCCAGACAAAACTGCCTCCTCGACCCTGGAACCTGCCTTAGGGTTTTGTTATGAACTGCAGTGTTAATTAATTAATCAATTATTTGTCCAGTTACATTCCACATAAAAACTGCCTCATATTCCACACGTCACCTGAGAACTCTGAGAATCTTGAACTTGAGGTCTTATTGTCAGGACAAAATTGCCTTCTCTCACTGATATTTGCAATTCTTTCCCTCCAGTTTGACAAGTTTTTTTGGGAAAGGAACCGGGAACAGAGTAGGAGGTGCTCCTACTACATGGTTTGCTCAGTAAACAGGATAAAATTCCTGATTCCACAATAATATGGCTAAATTTGCTTTCTGTTTTGTTATTTCCACATTGGACGGAAAGAAAAACAGTCCTGGCTGGAGATATCAAACACTCCAGGCCTATTGCACTGTGAGTCACCTGCTTAATTACTGGGTACTCCCAAAGAGACGGCATCATGCTGACAAAATGTGAGCTTGCCCGGGTTGGAAGGAAGTAATTAACCCCTCTTCCCGACCCGGCGGAGACGTGGGGCCGAGGGGGGAAGTGTGGCAGGGAGCTCCTCCGTTGCCACGCCGAGCCGCGTCCAGCAGGCGCGATGCACAGACGTGGCACTTCTCGGCCGCCTCTGCCTGACTCAGCGGTTTTTCTCGAGAGCCAAGTCGAACCGTGTTATTATCTAGTCTGTGCACAAACCCCACCGAACACAAGACGCAGGGGCCTGCGAGAGCTGCCGCATGGAGCTAATTAATGGCATGGTATCTGAAACGCTGCGGACGTTTTAATTAGAGTCTTTAACGGTTATTTTTAAGGAACAATTACAGTTCCCCTCGGTAGTGTGGAGTGAGTAATTGTGTGGAACTGTTCTTACAAGGAAAGGGGGCCGGGGGGGGGGCTGGGAGAGTGATCGGTTCATTTCTGTCGCCTCCGATCCGGCCACTGCATCCTTTCGAGACGCCGTTCCTGCCTTTTTTCCATCTTCGGTAAATGACTCCAGCCCGTTTCCAGGCCCGGGAAAGGAGGAGGGAAAAAAAAGCCCCTAATTAAATGGTTAAGAATGACAAAAATAGACGTTGGCGTTGTTTCATACCATCTGTGCTTTATAAAACGTGGGGAGCCGAATGTGGGGAGAAGTGCGAATGCTCAGCGATTCTGCAGGCTCACGTGCCAGTTTCCTGACCCGGTCCAGGAAATAAAAGCCTGCAGGTGTTCTCTGTTCTTTCAGTTCTAAAATCCGATTTAACGGAGCTTTAGGAATGAAAAACCGGCCATTTGGAAAGAGCCCCGCAAGACCGATTGATCGTTTTGAAAGAACAGGCGACGATGCCAGGAACCTCTGAAAAATTAGCTTTGCAGAAAAAATGCTCTGCAACCAGATGTGCTTTTTATTGACTCTATTAATCTGGCTTCTATTACCAATTGGAGTGTAAATCGGCAATGGATACAGATTGCCAGCCCTAGTCACAAAAGGAACTGAGTGATTGACGCTGTTTTGTCCTCATTTTTTTCATTTTTCCTGACTCATTTTGTGTGTGTATATTCACGCTTATGCATTTCCTGTTCAGCAGGATTTCTGTCAAACCATAAGAGCCACTCTTGGCTTGTTTTGAATGAGACCAACCTCTGTTGATCTGCACACTACCATCCTCATTGATTGTCATTCCACAGCTGTTAAAGCTGCTTGGAGTTCTGATCTTCTGTAGGTCCTCGTATCGGGGTGTGGGGATCTTACAGTGCTTGCAAATGGCTGGTTTTTATGGTACTTTATAAAAGCAGGACTTCTCATGATGATCTGTCCCAAACATGCTGTTACTTCAGCTGTGGTACACTCTAGTGAAAGCAGAGTGAAATGTGTTAAAATACAGTGGAATTGTAGAACATAACACAATATAAATCATTGAAATGAATGACAAAGCAAGGTAGAACGCATAGTAACGACACAAAGTGCTCTGCACATTTACTGTGCTGTATCTCATCTCCACTAGCCTGAATCTTTGCTTGGGTCTGCCGAGAGCAGAGGATTTGTGTCCTTCTGTCCTGGCCGTGCTCCTGAGCTGGGCGTGTCTGTGGGCCCTTGCAGGTGATGAAGACCTACCACATGTACAACATGGACAGCATCAATGCCGAGTCCAAGCTGAAGGAGGCGGAGAAGCAGGAGGAGAAGCAGATGGGGCGCTCCGTCAAGCAGGAGGACAAGCAGACGCCGCGCTCCCCTGACTCCCTGGCCAGCGTCAAGATCGAGGAGAAGCACGTGCGCCGCAGCTCCGTCAAGAAGATCGAGAAGATGAAGGAGAAGGTGACTGGCCCGTGCATGTGTGTGTGTGTTGTTGAGGGCGATGGGGCTGTTCAGACAGTATCTTGGTACTGTTGATGACTTAAGAATATTGAAAAGGTTCGTTCAAGAGATCATCATTTGTCCAGTCTTGTTCGTTTCACCACAAGTAGCTTGATGATCCTAGAGAGCCCGTTTCTAACGGGGTCCCAAGGAGTCATCTAAGCATAGAGGGTCTGCACCCTTAATTATCCTAAACCTAAGTCCATCTTGCATCTCCCGGGACATTTGCACTGTTGCGGATTTTGAAAAACTAACTCTGCGTTGACTAGGTCAGCAGATGAGATGTCCATGTCCTCTCAGAACAGGTACAGAAACATTATTTCGGAGGAAATGGCTCATTCCGGCAGGGATTTGTGGAAATGGGGGTGATGCACATGCTGATGAAGGGAGATGTTTGAGTTACTCTCTGCCCTTTTCTTGTGATTGCAGTTTCTGTTCTGTCTGTCATTGAACATTGAACTGAACATGAAGAATTAAGAAAGATTAAGAAAATCTGCAGGGTGTTTATTCTTTGTCGTCTCCCAAAACTGTTGGTAAGGTGTGCAGAAGGAGTTTGGAAGCTGTAATCACAAGCAAAGAGTTATAATGTGGCATGGTGGGCTATGAGCATGGAGGCGTCTTCTCTTGTCTGTCCATCGTTGAGGTGGGTAGACTGAGAACTCTTTACTGCCACCTGTCGAGGGTGTGTGAGTCAATGAGGACGACTTCGAAATTCAGTCCTCCTTCTGTGCTTTATTACCTTTAGATAAACATGTTTTACTCTCCTCTCCTTCACCCAGCGCCAAGCCAAATACACTGAAAACAAGCTGAAAGCAATCAAAGCCAGAAACGAGTACCTTCTGGCGCTGGAGGCCACCAACTGCTGCGTGTTCAAATACTACATCCACGATCTGTCCGACCTCATTGACGTGAGTACGCCGGCCTTCATCACGAACATCCAGACTGGGAGGTTCTAAACAACAGCAATGAAGCGATTTCTATGTTTACTAATTTCTTAATAATTTTAAAGATCTTATTGATTGATTGCAGATCAATCTGTTGACTTTAGAAAGCCAAATGGTGTGTACAGTCACTATTACTCTCACACCCACAGATCAACATTGAATTGAACTGTCAGCCCTGTTGCTGGTTACAAATTACACACCCAGAATTCAATGGCTTTTCCTTCCCTGTAAAAGCCATTAATCCGGTTTCTGGTTGGGAATCAGCACCAGGCGGCTGGACCAGAGGTTTGATTTGTAATTCGGAGTTATGGAAACAGCCAGGCTGAACAGCCAGAACTGCATTTTTCCTCCTCACGTAAACGTGCCCGTATTCTCAGTACCAAGAGCAATGTCCTCCTTGCGTAAGAATGGTTATTATTTCAATCTTATTTGGATTATGTCCCGGGAGAGGAGAGCCAGACAATGTATTATTGAAAGCTTATCATGAATTCTCTGGGAGACCCTGTGCTATGAATATGAATGATCTCTTTCATGTCTGCGCTAACATGTGAGGCGATCCCTGTGCACTGGGGGGCTGTGGTGCCGTCCGATATTAAAGAAAGATGAAAGGACTAATAACATGCTGATTAAAGAGGAGACAGCCCATCAGCTCCGCCGGATTGTTAACATAATCGCTCGCTCGTCTTTCGGGGAGCTCAGGTTGTTTCTGTTTGCACGGTGTTAGCGCTGCGCAGTCAGGCCTGCAGTCTTCTGGTCAGACTGGGGGGCTGATCTGTGATGGGATATCGAGCCTTTTACGTTCATTCGGAGAGTGGCCGAGCGGAACTCGGGGGGTCCCACGCGCACATATACGTCTTTGAGATGGATCTGTCGTTATCCCGGCAGTGCTGTGACCTGGGATACCACGCCAGCCTGAACCGGGCCCTGCGCACCTACCTCTCGGCCGAGTTCAACGTGGAGTCTTCCAAGCACATGGGCCTGGAGACCATCGAGAACGCCGCCGAGAACCTGGACGCCAACATGGACAAGCAGCGGCTCATGGAGATGTACAACAACGTCTTCTGCCCCCCCGTGCGCTTCGACTTCCAGTCGCACATGGGCGACATGGTCAGTGCTGCCGGCGGTCCAGGGTCAGGAACGGGAAGTGGGGTAACAGTTCGGGCTGGGGCAGGGGTTTGGGCTGTACTTGGGATTTAACCGTGTCGAAAAGTTGGGAAGCTTTGATTTCGGTGTTGATTAGTGCACAGGTTGAGCTGGGATTTGGGCTATGATTGAGTTTTAGCTTAGAATAAGTTTTGCAGTAGTCTGGGCCACTCAGGCTTGGACAGTTGACTACACCTGGGTTAGGACTGGGGCTTAGATCTGGCAGGGGTCAGAATGGGACAGTGCTGCAGTGGATACAGCTTCTGGCGCCAGATCAACTTTTGCCTGGCTTGTGAGGCTTGGATCAGCTAGGTACTCGGACAAAGGTAATGAGATCGGCTATATGCCCTTCTGTCATTTATCATAAAATGAGATAAAACCATTATTTTCTGCCTTTACTGATAAAGTATGTGTGGTTGATTAACAAATTTCTTTAGGGCTGAAGCAGTAGAGCTTTGGGCCACACTCACCGAAGGCCCTGTCACCTCCAGTGGGCCGGAGCAGTAGAGCTTTGGGGCACACTCACCGAAGGCCCTGTCACCCCCAGTGGGCTGGAGCAGTAGAGCTTTGGGGCACACTCACCGAAGGCCCT